TTTCACGCTTAATCCTTTTTAAGTGGTCGTCAACAGGGTGTTCGCGGTATGGTTTGGTTTGGTTTTTAATATTTTTTAAATCAATTCAATCCATTATTATATGATAACCAAAGTAATCCAACTTAAATCGGATCGATGTGATTCGGTCAGATTGATCGGTTTTTAACATTATTAAATATATAAGATAATATAAAAATATTTTCATATCAAATAAAAAATATAACCATGAAACACATTAACATGCAAATCAGTAAAAATATAATAAAAAATACAAATTATAAACGAGTTCTTATACACCTTTACATTTGTAAAAATTGAAAAGATCTGAAAATTTTTCTTGATTACATCATTAGAGGCATCAAGAACAATAAAAGATGACTTCAAGTTTCTAGTACAACGTAAATAATTCTTAAAGATTAAAATTAGTTTTTTTTTTTCTTAATGCACTAATAATTTAATCTTATCTTTTAAATTCTATTAAAAGTGAATAAAATTTAACATGAATATCACTAAAATTGATTAGAAGCATTCATAATCAAAATTTAAAACTTCTAAACCAAATATCCAAGAATAGTAGAATATCAAGTCTAATTTTATTATATAGTTTTAAGACTTTTAGAATGATACTTATTTAAAACTTAGTTAGGAGAATCATAAGATTATTTTCAGAATAAATTAGAAATTTAGGATTCTAAGAGTAAAGGCATAAATTAGTTCTGAAGAAATAGAGTTGCAGGTGAACTAAAAATTTAGAATTATGGTTAGAGTACATGATTAAAATGGAAAAATAGCTTAGGAAATATGGAGATGTTTTATTTTTGTTTTTTAATTAAGTTAATGGAGTTATTATCTTGTAAAATAAGAAAAAGAAATTTTAAAATACTACAAAAAAATATATTATATTATTTAATTAAGTTATCTTGTAATCTGATTTTATTTTGTAATCAAGCAGTTCGAGTGGTTTGAAAGTAAAATCACAAACTAAACCAATTATATCTGTTTAAAAATTTTATAATTCAAACCAACCAAATTTTACATCGGTTTAGATCGGTTTTTAATTGGATTAGATCAGTTTAGGTCGAATCAATCGGATTGGATCAGATATGAACACCCTTAATTGTTGGTCGTTCAATAGTGCTCTAATACAATAAAAGGACAAGTGAACTTAGAACCTATCTTAGCGGGTTAAAATCAACTGTAGTCCTCATACTTTGTGAAAATATTTATTACCATCCCTCTACTAAGGAAATGTTCAATGTTATCCCTCTACTTTCCTTACAATATAAATGCCACCCCTCTACTACTCCCTTTTTGTTTCATGTCATCCCTAATTGGATGCCATCCACATTTCCGTTAATTTTGATCGTCATTTACTAACAGTCAAAGGTTTAACTTTGTTTAGTATTTTTTTTTGGTTTAAGTACCATTTTAGTCCCTCAACTTATCACTTTGGTACCAAAATTGTCCTTCACCTTTAAAAAGTACCAAAATTATCCTTAAACTTTCATTTTTGGTACCAAAATGGTCCTTCCGTCAGTTAAATGCCAAGTGGCTCGTTAAA